ACATGAAATATGATATGAAACTTACAATTTTAACAATCACATTACACTGGTACTTAGCATTCTCTGCTAAGTACCAAAAGGGGAAAATAAATCACATTTTTGACAGTACCTTTGTGTACCAGAACATCACAAGCACTTGAACGATTGACCCCGACTTGGGGGCTTTGTTATTGTAACATGTACACAATCAGTCTCGTCGGTTTTTCTTGCCAAAGATACGCATGAGGCTTGGAGACATGTAGTATGGTTTTGCTGCTGTACCATCATTACGCTCACAGTCTTCAACTGTGAAATAAAAGGTGTAAGATTAACTTTGATACAACATTTAAATAGAATCTGAGAAAAAAGAAGACTGTCTGTGTAAAACTTACGGAAACATAAAAATAAGGTATCTACTGCCACACTGTATACACCAAAGAAAACACTGGCAATGAGGAAAGACCCTACACCAGTGACAGTAACTGGTACTGCATTGTAGTTCAGTTTAGGGTCTGGAGGCCATTGCCGCAGACTGAAATACACAGCGGTACAAACTACTGCTGTTATAAGGAGTTTTCCCATGAAGAAAACAAAGTCCGTAATCTGTAAAAATAACCATAAATAAATTTACAATGGTGAGATGTGACTTATATCTGATCTGAAATGGCAAGAGTTCAATCTCACCTTATCAATAACTACTACTCTTATCACATTTCTCATCAGAAGGTTGAATGCATCTTTAGCCGAAGCACAGAAGTTTTTCCCGTGGACTGCACACATGATGTATGCATTGCGGGAAATAAATTTAAGAAAACCTTCTACACAAGCAAAGCAGCACTTGCAGCAACACATGACACATTTTGCTACTGAATTATCACTGTACTGCTTTGCTTGCTTTTCAATATAATCAAGAATTAGTCGTATAAAACGTACAATAGAAATGATCAAAGAACCAAATGCCACAGTGCCAGTGTGATAGCTGCAATTAAACAAAATCGTGAAATAGAGGTAAATTGATAATGGTTTTCAAACAAGCAGTTGTATCCAAATAAAATACTTACGTAATTGACATGAAAAATGATCGAGTTAATACAAAAAACGGCACATCAGATTTGTGGAAAGTCCAGTACCAAGTAGCAAAGGTGGCAGCCAGAATCATCTGTGCCATGCCCGATATGAAAAATAGTGTCCATATAGCACCAAATATATTGAACACATGGAGCCATTTCGTGTAGTCTGGTGGGTTATATCGGAAAAATTGGCAAGAAGCTCCTTGGGCAATACAGTTTGAACATTCGTGGTTAAAGTTACTGGGAATGCAATCAACGCCATCCCTCTGCAAAAGCAAGATTTAGTTTTAAACACTGATTTCAATGGAACAGGGGGCAGGGGTCCGTAACTTGATTACTTAACTGCCTTTAACATTATTTTAAGAGTTAAGTTAGAACTTGTAACTTTGACTTTAGTCCCTTGGAAATAAGTCAGTTATTGGACTTATCCAACTTTTCCTCACAGTATGTACGATTAAAAACGGACATATATGTATTTCAAAATCGATAACTTCAATTTTAATTTGACATGTGTTTGGCTACGTTGAGTAACTATCATTCATTCGCGTTATGATAAGTTACGGATCCCTGGCATGGGGAGCTAGGGAGTCCGGGGAAGTCCCCCCCCCCCCCTTTTTCAGACTTACATTGATGTTCACCGCCACGCAAGTGCAGCTCGTGTCGTTCAGGCCGTGCGTCTTGTAGATGGCAACGCCCGAGGTGGCGAGGTAGAGCACGACCGTGGCCGTGTAGGCCACGACGGCCACCTGCAGCGCCCACGGCACCACGGGGAAGAACAGGGTGGACGTCATGCTGCTCACGGCCTTGCCGCCCTGCTCGATGAGGGTGACGGCGAGCGAGATGCGCTTGCGCAGGAAGAGCACCATGAGCAGCAGCACGCCCAGGATGATGGCCAGCACGATCATGAACGCCATCCACGTGGTCGGGTCGTCCAGGATGCCGCGGAACTCGGCAGGCACGTCACCCCACAGCGCTACCGTGCTGCCGTCCTTGAGCTGCGCCCAGAACGCGTAGCACGCGTACAGGCCTGCGGGCGAGAGGGTGGCGGTCAGGACACCGTCAGCACCGGGGCAGGCTCTCGGGGGGCTTTGGGGGCCGTGTACTCACCGACACCGAGGAGCACCAGGACCAGGAGGATCGAGCTCCACACCATGACCCCCGTGACCCAGCGCAGAAGCAGGATGTAGAAGAAGGAGAGCACCATGGCGACGGCCAGCCCCAGGATGATGAAAGAGTACGACTGCACGATGTCCGACACCACCTTCTCACCGGCCTGCCAATGGAAGAACAGACTGTTATTACTGGAGACGACGAACAGGAGGAGGTCGAATTGGAACGCATAGAAACCGACGGCTTCCAAAATAACTATCGCCATCTGTATATATCTTTTCGATATGTTGCGGTGCGTTATCGCCGCGGGGGTTTTACCTTCTGTAATACCCTATACACCTGACCTTGGTATTACACGGTATTACGCACAATGTAATACCGAAAAATATCAAAATATGCTTTAAAATGGTAATTTTTTCCATGTAATACCGGCGTAATACCGCGTAATACATTGTAAGGGATCATCCACAAAGTACGTCCATGATTCGCTGTTCCAAAACTGCCAAGTTCATCCTGTGCAAGCTCTCGGAGCGCCTGGTGGGTAGGCAACTCCTCGTATGTAGTGCATGTGTGTTCTGCGGGCTGGCCTACCTTGAGCCTTGCAGGCGCTCATTTTCCTTTTTCGCTGAACAAATCTTAGAAAAACATCGGACGTACTTTCAGGATGGTCCCTAATACGGAGTACTTTGTTCACGTTTTCTTGGAGTAAAACCCCCCTCGTTTACCCCCCCCCCCTCCGGGCCCGACGGCTTTACCTCGTACGCCCTCTGCAGCGCCATCATAATGTTGCCGCCCTTCGTGACGTCCTCAACCGAAGAGCCGATGGCTTGGCCGTCCACGACGAGAGGCTGATTCGGCCCCAACCCCATCACGTCGGGGACACAGAACTTGCCCACTACAAGCAGAGGGGTAACGTGCAAATACTGCGTTCAATACACGTCGCACCGAACTTCCCAGCATCGCATAAGAGTCGTCGACGGCCGAGTGTGGTACTGTCGGTGCCGGCGACGTGTGTGGCTAAGTGGAGGGGTTCGGCAAGGAGTGAAAAGTGGGATAGGTGCGCAAAGTTTTGGAGATGATTAACACGTGAAGCAAACAGACAAAGTCGTCAGTCGACCACTCCGAGTGCGCGCAGACGACAAAAGCAGCAGCACAGAAACGCAAAAAGGAAGCGATAGAAAACGTCGTTTTTCCCCCACACCCTATTTCACAGACGTGCACATGCTCTCATGCTCAAGCCCCCATGCAGCATCTCTACCTGCTGGACGTCCTCCCGGTTCCACACAAGGGACAGACAGTTGACAACCATGGTGTGCAGCCTCCAGAAGCCCTCCTGGACGAGCCTGATGGTGAGCGAGTCCCTGGTCTCGATCGCACCGGCCAGCACGCAGCGCCCGTCCACTACAAGGAAGCAGTCCAAACGTCTCACACCCGCACTCACTGCTAACGCGGTGGTGGACAAAGCCGCTCAATCAAACACAACACACACACACACACTAGACGAATAAAGGCATTGCCCCAAGCGGGGGAATATGGAGCGGAATCGGCACACAATTTTGCCAGTATTTATTTGACACAAATCTTTACGCTCTCGGTAATTATCTGTCAAACTCAGCACACGACTAGAAAACGGGACAAAAGCAGCCATATACAAAACTCTCCACCAGCGTTAGGGCAGGAGCTTAGAGGGGTAGGTGGTACTAGACGACAGTAGATCACAAGGTCAACTGACTGCGCTCTAGATTTCCAATGCACTTGGAAGTGCTGAATCTATAGCACAGGAATGTCACAATCAAGTAATGAAGAAAACTAGTCCGGCAAAGACTAGCCTTATGAGCCAGAACTATTGGAGTAAAACTACAAATTAATTGCAGGAGTGTGTGTTGAAAATTATCAATCATTGCTTATTCCAGAGGTAATGGTCCGTACGCACCTGCGATGGTCTTCTTGTACCACTTGGCGCACTTGTTGCTCTCGACGAGTTTGCGCAGCTCGGCGCCCGTGGTGGGCGAGCTCTGCTGGAATAGGCAGATGGGCGGGGGCCCGCTCAGGGCGGCCTGCTTGTAGTAGTTCGGGGCGTAGAACTCCTCCTTGGGGCAGCTCGCGACGCACGCGCTGGGCGAGGCGCAGCCGTTGACCAGGACGTTGGCGGTGGGCCGCGCGCACAGCGACGGGTCGAAGAAGAGCAAGTACGGCTTGTTGGACACGGCCGGGGACACGCCGCACTGCTGGCCGCTCGAGTCGGTGGGCTGCAGGATGCGGCTGGGGTCGCCATCGCGCACCGCTGCATGCGTGAGGGCAAACCATTAGCTCATCCACTCACTCAACCACATCCTCACTCATCGACATCCTCACTCAACCACACTTTCACTCAACCACACTCTCACTCAACCACACTCTCACTCAACTACACTCTCACTCAACCACACTCTCACTCAACCAACCCCCCAATCAACCAACCCCTCAATCAACCAACCTCTCACTCAACCAACCTCTCACTCAACCAACCTCTCACTCAACCAACCTCTCACTCAACCAACCTCTCACTCAACCAACCTCTCA